CGGAGCTCAAATCTTGCAGGCGGGTTCCTGATAAACAGCAACTATCGATCGAGAGGGTCTCTAGTGTGCCAGCAAATGCTGTCTGTTGGCCAATCTGTAGCAAAGTGCGCACGTTGAGGCATGCCAGTCTTAGTAAGACGCGAGGACTCCAAGAGGAGACGGATGAAATGACGTTATCCGCTTGGTTGAACATGGACTTGTCGACTGGATTGGAGCGACGCCTTGCGACTGAGTGTGATTTGAAACTAGAAGACAAGCAACTATTGAAGCAAGGTGGGGAGAGCCAAGAATTGGGGGATTGAAAATGGGTGGGATAAAAGTAAAGTTGGAACGGGACGATAAGGATCAAAAAACGCAAGAAGCGGGATAAGAAGACGGAAAGACCTGAGCAGTAGTATCCATACCCCTATCCACCCTGCTCAATGCAGCAGATAGGGAGCCGTTGACTATCCTCTGCGACGGTCAGAGCATCAAGAAATTGTTAGAGAAAGGTTTTATTGTATTGCATGGACAGAATACTGTCAGGTTGCCCAGGCCTAGATAAGAGAACGATTAGGGATCTCAACCAAAGTCTTTGGTTCAAAAAGCTTACCGCAAAACAGCAGGGCTTTGGCACTGGACTACAATGAGTCCGTTTTATGGAGTAAGGAGCCACCCTCATTCCAACGCCCAACAAGGATGATCAAGAGGCTGACTTTTTCTGGCCTCTAACCACTGACCAATCTGGTATGAGTGGCTCTGACGGTGAAAAACACACCACCCAGCATTGCTCAATGTATCTCTGAGGCACGCAAATCATCGCACCACGGTAAGGTCCAGCCTCATTGCGATGGAGGGTTCGTTGCAGCCAGTTCCAAGTCAGATAGTCATCCACATGCCGGGAAAAAGCACTAGACCGCAGTTTCAGCCTGTTGGGAATCATCAGTAGTGCCCATTCATCGGGTCCAACATGATTCGATCCCACGATCACAAACGGCTTGCACCGCCAGTCTGCAGCTTATGCCACTAGGCCTAGAGGGACAGCTTCCGACGTCATAATTTGCAAGCTAACTGTTTTGTAGCTCGTCTTATCCTCCACTGCCATGCACGTTAGGAACAGTGCAGAGAACATGGTTGGCTCCCGAAGCTGTCCCTCATGGTCCAGTGGAATAAGCTGTTGACTGGCAGTGCAACTCGTTGTTGGTCGTGGGATCGAATCCTGATGGATCCGATGTATGGGCATTACTGACGATGCACAACAGGCTGAAACTGCAGCCTTGTGCTTTTCCCGGCAGGTGAACGACTAGCTAATTTGTAACTGGCTGCGAGGAACCCTCAGTTAACTATAACAAAATCCCCTATTCATGAGTACATTAACTATATCCGCCCTGGCAGTTTTTAAATGCTGTGTCGTACTTCGCTACTGTCAGTGGATGTCGTGTTTTTCGGGGCCAACTCTGTTCTCTGCAACGTTCGTAACGTGCATGGCAGGGGAGGATAAAACGAGCTACAACACCGTTAGCTTATAAATTATGACGTCGGCAGCTGTCCCTCTAGGCCCAGTGGCATAAGCTACAGACTGGTGGTGCAAATCGTTTGTGATCGTGGGATCGAATCATGTTGGATCCGATGAATGGGCACTACTGATGATTAACAACAGGCTGAAACTGCAAGCTGGTGCTTTTCCGTGCATGTGGACGACTATCCGTTTTGAAACTGGTTGCGACGAACCCTCAATTAACTACTTTAGTTAATTACTTATTTTTCTGTTATGCACCGAGAACACTGCATGTTATATGAGGGGAGAAGAGATGCAAAACATCAAGCAATCGTGAAGGAAGAGAAGTTGTGAAAATGCCATTTGTTGTTGCATCCAGCAAACTGGTTGTTCCAGTCAGTGCAGCTTGTCTGGTCCTACATGTTGATTGAATTAATTAATTGATCAGCATCGTCCCGTACGCGCCCTCGCAACCCATTACTGTGGACACCTTATTATCAAGCAACACAAGCAGTGGGGAACGTTGATCGAAGGGGTCGTATTTCGCTGTTTTAGCTGTGAACTGCTCACAATGTGTTCATGTGTTCATGCAGACTAGGCTTCCGAGACAAAGTGAATTCTTTTGAAAGTCTCGTGGATATCATAGATTCATACAGATTACCCTGACTTTTGAAATAAACGGAACAACTGAAGCAATCAATCTTCAGCCCTTGCCGCCGCAGCTACCAAGATTGGTGAATTGCTCATTTGTTACCCCTTTCCACTTATTCAAGTGCCAACCTGCATGCCGCTATTGACAACCATGCAACAACACAACTCATTATAGACGCGAAGGTGTGAAGTGCGATGAATAATGCCACTCCACAAAGTTTGTTCCCGGTTGACAATGGGGCCCCGTTATTGTCAAACGAAATAGCGATGTAGCACGTAGAGTCCTATGGACGCGTTTCTCTCTTCAACATAAGAGGCAACCCCATTACAGTGTCTACGAAAATGGGAACAGAAGTAGACTTGTGAGACACGTCTGGCTGCCGGAACTGGATAACACAAGGTAACAAACGGCCGAAGCAAGGAATTCACATTTTGATTTTTAAATTTAAATCCATTTCCTTCCAGTCACTCGAGCACAACAACGAGTGTTTGAAGATGTCCTGTATCACAATGTCCAGAAATAAGGATATCGTCCAGATAAGCACAAATGAAAGGTATATCCTTCACCAGGTTGTCCATAATCCTCTGGAAGATTCCGGGGGCAGAATTAATACCAAAAGGCAGGCGGGTGTATTTCGAAAGTCCTGTATGTGTGGCAATAGGAAGGCTCGTCGCACTGAATCTGCAAATAGGTATGGCTGAGCTCAAGCTTGGTAAACTTTTCACCACCTGCCAGAGTTGCGTACAAATCTTCACTACGTGGCAACGCATACCTGACTAACATAGGGGCTTGGTTAACAGTATTTTGTAGTGACCACAAATACGTATGGAACCGTCTGGTTTGGTTACAGTTACTATTGGTGTACCACAATTAGAAAATTGTGCAGGGGTAACAATACATTTATTTTGTAAGCGGGTTAATTCTTCTCGACACTAAGGTTCCAAACGTTAGCTGAGGTGTTTGAGTGCAGGATAAGTAAAGTCTTCACATACTCACATGGACGCCTTAAGGTAAGTCTGTCTCACTGAACGGAGCAACTGATCGAGTCGAGCATGTTATCTAAATCGTGGAACACGGATTTAATCAATTTTGCTTATATGTGAAATGTCTCAATAATTCATAATGTGATATTGCGATGTATGTATATAAACCGCCGACTGGGGCCTTCGAAAACACCAGTATCATTATTAGGTAATGTTATAACGCTGTGTCCTCAATCGACCGGTTGATTCACGCCAGCTGGTAAACCTGCGCCCTTACCCTTGCTCTGTTTGACGCCTTGTCAAATCCGACAGGAAGGAAGACAGAAGACTCAGCAGACCAGAGTTGTATTAGAACCGAGAACGCTCATATTTATATGTTGGCCTCACCAACCTTCCAAACATCACCAGGCGGGTTTGGCTGTAAGCCCACGCTCCACACATGCTTGTCCGCTCCGTCTGTCCAGTTCACCGTCTTGCTCGGGCACTCCAGTCTTCGTCCGCCTACCCGGTGCATGGCTACGCACGTGATGTCTGATGCGCGATTTCATCAGCTTTCGGCTGGGCCCTGGCAACAGGCGCGCAGGGTCTTTCCCAAGCACAATTTGTGGCAAACAGGCGCGCGTTGGCAATCAGCTTTCTCGCCCAGCTATCAGGTGAACAGAGTCTCTTCGCTACCGAATATACTGTCTCGAAAGTGGTTACGATAACGGTTATTTGTTATGCGAAGGGACGGAACACAACATAACAGGGTCTCTCGTTTCGATGAACCTTAGCATCAATGGTGGACCCGCGCACGGTGACTAATAGGAGTTAGCAATTCTAAGAAGGATAACAAGCAGAAGAGACTGAAGCATTCATCAAACTCTCTTTCATGACTTGGGGTATTGGGCGAAACCTGCGCACGGCTCTACATCGCGGAACCAAGCGGACAACACGCACGGGACCGTGATGGGACCCGCTAGAGGCTGACGAAACCTCGACGCCAGCGAGAACATAAGCGATCGGCGAAATCCGCTGTGAGCCTGTGTCTCGGAAATGCGGATGACAAATACAACGCACGGTAGCAAATCGATGAGCCAGTAGGCTTTCACAACTCATGAGGTTAAATCACAGGCGATTAGAGGACAGTTATGCCTATATTGGAACGAATGTTCTGCCTATAACATGTATCGTCCTTTAAAGCGGAATATGCAACTTCATCCGTGTCTTGCTTTTTAGGCTTCACAGTTGGATTAAAGTGACAGTTGGAAAGGGCCAAATGCTAGCAATACACCAGGGGACAGCGTGGATGGAAGGGAGCAAGTGGAAGCCAGTGGAAGCCGGTGAGTAAAAATGCAGTTGGCACAAGCCTTCTCCCACCTAAAAATTGTGTCGTGTGGTAGCGACGCAAGTCTTACAGAGATAGCCAAGCTGAAATAAAATAGGTTTTTTATCATTTAAAACCGCAGTGTCGATTGGGATGCAATTGTGCAGTTTAGATAAACTATAATATGTATGTATTTCTAAGCCTGAACGGTATAAGCAATAGCGGTCTGCATGCCAGGTGAATGGATTCTAAACTTCTTAAAGAGCGTGCAGTTGTTCTCAATGTTTCCTAAAGTACATTTCAAATCATGTCGCTAGCCGCAGGAGATGAGCGGTTCCAAATGCGCGACTCCAGGTGGGACTCAGATAGTGTACTGGCTGTTGCGATGTTTCCGGACGATGGAAGCCCATTCTCATGTATCCCAGATTTCAGCGTGCTTTAGGTATCGTTTCATACTCCCTAGTGAAGAACATGGTGAAACTAGTATCTACTGATTAGTGGGTTCAACAACGGGGGATAAGATAGGTAGTCCAGTTAAAATGGCTATTTGTGACTCAAAGTAGTTAATATTTCGGTACTTACCCGTAATTTCAGCACCAGGTCTCCTAAGCCGTCCGCTATCAAATCTTCCTTTGGAGGGAGCTTGAATTTGGAGTTCGGTAGAGACTGATCCACTGATTGGGAGCTGTCCTTAAGCCTATCCACAGAAGTATAACCGCAGTTCGGTAAGTTGTCCTTTTCTGTTGAACTACGATAACAATTACAACATAGAAAATCCGAGAAAGTAGGCTGCTGTGGACTGTGTTTAATTACAGCTTTCGACATTGCGCACCCCTCAACGAGGATACAAAGTAGGAAGGTTTGTAAATTGGGTCAAGTTCGCCAATCGTCTTCAGCCTATGCGTATGCGCTCAGGGCGCATACTGTCATCACCCGTAGGCAAAGCCTCGGTCAAAGCTCAATGGTATTTGAGCAGACGCCAAATGAAGGTGAGTGAGGTTAAGCGCAGCTCCGGTGTCACTTCAACGCGCGCGCACATATATGAACGTGCTTGGCACATACTTGAATGCTTTCTGACTTAGCTGTGTCATCCGATCAATGAGCCACTGATGAGGAGCAACTTCGCTCCGGTATCGACAAAATGTCTTACATAAAAGATGTGCATGTCTACCACATATAACTGTTGAGTAAAACTGTAACGTGATTTGCGGATGTCATCATCAGCTGTCGACACAACATCCACGTTGCGCAGTTGCAAAGGCATGATAACATTTTGGGTGTTCTGTATTGTTACTTAAATCCGACTGCATTCTGGGGCATAGAGCTTGGTTGGTAGGTTGCTTCTAGACTCTGCAGCCACCTTAAATATAAAAATGTCTAGTCTGTGTGGTTTAAATTTCAAAATCCATAGATAATCCCTTTTCACAAGAGATGATTGTGCATGTAAAGAGACAATAATTCAAAAATAAGCTAGCATAATTTCAAATACGAGGTGGCATGGCTTCTCAGCAGCTTGAATGAACAGAGTCGAAGAAATGTGTCCTCTAGAGCGATTACGAACGGGTTGGTTGGTGCTAAGTTTATCTGTCAAGATAAACAAGTCATTCAATCGGACTGCTTTCAGGAAGTGCACTGCTTAGGGGGAAAATCGGCAGTTATATCCACACAATGGTACGGCGTGCGAAACTCCACCAGTTCGTGGTGTTTACAATAGCCTAGTTCACTGTCACCTGTTGTTTACAATGGAGTACGGGTTTAATAAAAACAAATAGTATGGAAACAAAAATATACGCTACCATCACAATTAACTTGTGAAAATGACCCAAGCTAGGTGTTAATTACGAACATTGCAGCCTGGATCAGGTAACAACAAGGTGTCGCACAAACGAATTCACAATATTGCAAGGTTTACGATTACCTCTGTCTTATGCAATGAACTCGGAAATTAAGTCTGTGAGCCTGATTAGCTATCAGGCGTTCGTGTAACTGGCCCAATAACCGAGGTATTTCCCACCTCTAGCTAACGTGTAAGATGATGATGATGTTCGTGTAAGCTGGTGGCCGATAGGACGTAGTAGGACGACGTAGTAGTAACAATTGCGGGTACAAACCATACCACTCCCGTCTTGTAAGCCAGGACGAATTAACATTCATACAGTCTGATACACTATGAGTGGATCTACTACATTACACGGTTTTGGTGTAGATGCTGCAATCATCTGTAACCCCCTCTGTTGCTCCCGTGGTTTCCAAATCAAAGACAAAGTCGTAAGGACAGTATCATTTCGTATTTGTGCATTTCGTTATTCATGTACCGCTTGTTCTGTACCGTATGTTGTTTCTTTTTTAGAACTGTTTTAGCTTTGTATATGTTGTAATATTACACACCCTGGATGTGAGGAGCTAAAACAAGAAATTACTTATTACCAGTAACTCACTATGAGTAACCACCACGTACAATCATGTATTACCTTGCTAGTCGCCATACTTCTGGACTAATTTAGAATAATTTTGAGAAAAAGTGTCCGGCCTTCAGTACATGGCAAATTGGCCGTGGCACAAATATACATTGCATCGTATCCACTTGGCTGGTGAATAGGATTGTGGAATAGAAAACGGGTCACCTTGTGCTGGTTTGGGCTCCACAGGGGACAAATGGAATCCAACCGTTACTGAAGAAACAAACCAGCTCTTCAGTGTTTACCGAGACTTGAGATTCTTGTCGGACTGTGTCGTTGTGCGGTATCCAACTCGTAACATCTAACTCTCCCTAATACGCGGTTGTACCTGTGGAATACGATTGTTTACCTGGGTTGCGGTAGGGAGAATGAGTCTGAGCTGGAGAAGAGTATGGACAAGCTACGTGCGGAAGACCAGCTGGCATAGGGTGACCTCTTGTACTGAGTCTACCTTATATGCTTAGAAGTACGAGTCGTTTTATTCCCATGTGCTGATGAAAATTGACTTGGAGCATTTGTCTAGCAGATTTCTCCTAAATTCAATGATAGCTCTCTGACAGTGGACCGATATGAAGTGTGAACGAGCAGGCAAATATAAGGTGCACGTCAGTAGCTCTAGTGTGCCGTTCTCAGATGAATGAGGCTAATATAGTGAGCCAGCATCTGTTATCTAAGAATTGACTAGGTGCCACAATTTCAGGAAAACTTCCTCTCAACTATGGTAAATCAGGCAGCCATGATACAAACGGAAATGTAACGAGTGCCAGGTTTGGCAACAATTCCAGTCAGCACCCTTTTCTTTGTGAGGATAGTACCCTTCACGCTCCCTGCGCATGGAAGTGCTTATAGCTGCTGGGCTGCGGTGAGTGCTTTTTAAAATAATTGAATTTCTGACCCCGAAACATACTTAACTTGCGTTAGTCCCAGATTCTTGTTGTTGCATAACGGTCACAAACAAAATTAAAAGCAAATAGCGTACATACGCGAGTGCACGTTTTATTTACCTCAGGTGAACACACTTACCCTGGTCGTGTCGGTTGTTTGATATTTTCCACCTTTGGCTGGGGAATCCGCTCATAAACCTCGATTAGGTCCGCTACTCGGGGACCAACGGTTTCAGCTGAGGATTAAACAAATCCATCGCATTCACAAGTGTATATAACATTTATCATGCCACCTTGAGAAAACTATGGCAGGATTAAAGTAAAAAAGCTGCAATTGGCAAAGTCGGTTAACCGTACAGGGGACAACTATAATTTTATATTTGTTTTGTCAAAGTGATCAGACGCCACTGTGAAGATTGGTTGTATCCAGATTTTTGTGTTCGACTTTGCAACCATTTTTCAAAATCAAATGCTGCGAGTGGGTTCGGTCAGTCACATGCAAAACACCCACCGACACAGATAACTTTGAAGTTAGAACTCAGCCATCACCATGGAATATGTAGCCCTCAGCTGCTTGGCGAGTTTGCTAATGTACAAATCTTCATGCAAAGGGCAAGTTAGTTTCATTGAAAGAGAATGCAGTTTGAATACGAAGATCGGAGGAGAGGAATTAGGAGTTGTGTTGGGTGTGATGTCACCATGCACATCCGAAAGGTGTATAAATACATGTCTACTGAAAAGAGGGTTGTCAGTTTGAAAAATTAACCTCGATTGAGGATGCCTGACTATCTTGCGAGGCTCAGTGAGCCGCCAGTTTATAGCTTCTATGTATGCAGTATCTCTGCATTTGTTCAGTCTCTTTTTTCCAAAAGTCAGAGTTCATTAAGATATTGACCGGTGACGCGACGTACCGTTGTTGGGAAGTGTGGACCTTTAACCGACAGCATTGCCTCAGACATTTATCCGCCAATATTATCATCGTCAAGGAGACTTCTGAACTAGCACCATAAAATCGCTTAAGCACAGGCCTAGGTTATTATTCAGTCATAGGGAATAGACTAAGATAAAATTCGAGAATCTACTCCTAACCTCCGCTGTGCTGTGAGAAGCCGTGATTATGTGCATTCTGCCATTGCAGTTTAATGTATTAGGTTTGATCTATGCAAAAGAGGTCGGTTACCGACAATGCCAACTCTCGCAAAGACACAAAAGAATATGGCTGTAGCTACTCTAGTGCGGGCAGCGTAAAACAAAATGAGTTCGGAAAAAGCAAGCGGAAAGCACCAACACGTCAGTTGGTTCAGATAGACACAATTTATGGGCGCTAACGCCTTATCGGTTAAGGCTTGTGGGAAATTGCTTCCAGCAACTAATGTACCTTTATTGGAGGAGACGACGCGAAACTGTTTGACTTAATCTTCAAGTCTACTGATGCTTCTCAGACTGATATCACCCCAATGAGTAAGGATATGGTGAGGTGCGTCAAGCGGACACCAGCCATACTAGGAACTACATTGGGTTATGCATTATCTGTAGCCTTATCGAATGATGTATCAAAGTGTAGAAGCCTTGCTCGTAAACTAAAGCTGGAGGACCAAAATAACGCTCATCCTTGCTTTCATCTGACACAAGAAAATTTGAGCTAGTCAACATGATTGAAGAGAAGTAGGCTCTTATGATTTTTGAAGCGCATAATCGGGTATACGATCCAACTGTTATCGAAATACGGTGATGTTGAGCACTTTGTCAGTTGCCATGTAGTTTGATTACACGAAAAAGCCAAATGAGACATTCTCATGGGATGGGTTGTGAAAAAAATAAGGCTGAAGAAGCCCAGATTAATTCTTTTGAGTGTGTGGTTATCGCAGTCAGCTGTGGCACTGTATAGAACACAACTGAGATGGGCTTTCATAGAAAGCTATATATATTCGTTAAAAAACCAAATGACGATTAGTTGTTTTTACGGTGCAGACGATTCTCGGTTCTATCATTTATCACGCAGCTACCGCACAACATGACAGAACTTTAGCTGCCCACAGTGATCACTGCACCAGCAGGTTTATACGTTGCGTAAATACATGGTAGTACTTTATGGCAACCTCATTACATATGGTGCCCAAAATCAGACAGACCACCCAACCTATTTCCGACAAGCTATTGTAGCTTCTTACGTATCGTTCATAAGAATCGTGGCAAATAACCCCCAAATGAAAGTTGCTAGACTGCTTACGCTGAAATCAAACGTAGTTAACAACGCCTCATCCCCTGGAAAGGACAGCTACTACTCTAATGCATCACACACGATTAGCGCCTGATGCTGATAGACTAGAACAGTGTGGTCTTAAAGCGGGTTTGTGGTCTCCAAATGCAGCAAATTATTACAGACAAGATCTTTTTATTTGCTCGTCGTTTTCTATCTTGCAATGTTTCCGTGTCCCGTACCTTTACATCATATTCTGTCAAAACTCGTGCGGGGACAATGTTGTGCGTTGTGCGGACAGACATATAGAGAACCGATTCGGGTGATGCAGACAGTGAGATAAAGCTCTAAATTAACGATGCAATGAGTCGAAAGCGAAATCAGAAGGTGCAAAAACTCACTTGACTCTTCGGCGTTCGTGACAATCGTGGCACTGAAAATAGCAGAGAAATCGATAGCCACCTGAAGTCGCAACCCGATAAAATAGTCAATTACACAGAAGTTAGTTAGAAACTACCATGTGACTGCGCGGGGGAGCTAGAAGTTTTGTTAGGCAAAGCTTCCGACAAAATGCAGGGACTCATTCAAACCCAGGTTGCGTGTCTCACAACTGCTCGTAACACGGCATGAACATCATCAACACTCGACAAGTAGGCCACTAGTGAACTAACCACAATGTTTTGGTAAACCGAGCATACTGGTACCTAGTCGAACGCTGCAAAAATTGAGTAGAAAAAAAACAATAAAACTAGTTTCATATTTCCAGTCTAGTCGGCTTTTGCACGCTTGCGCACCCAATTCGGAACAACATGTAGAATGATGCTTTCGTCGGAACATATGCATTAGAGTAATAAATGTATAACTCAGTATCCTATTCCCACTCTATAGTTTATCTGAAGTGAATGTCAAAATTATGAAGGACAGTATGGCATTCGCCCTTGTGAACTGGTTAAATACCAAAACGGCAGTATCAATTGTGCGCGTGTGTGCGTGTGTATGGATAATCTGGGGAGCATTTATGGGTGACGGTCAGAATTTTCGGCCAAATTCTCTCTTTCCTTATTCCAACCAATGCAACAGAACAATACTTCGTTTATTACAAACCAACAGCTTGCAGTAAGTACTAGAAAATGATAGTCTAGTTTTAGTACTTCATAGGATCCGTTTGGATCGGGTGCCTTCCAAATGACTCACCCGGTTTCTTCTCTTACAGTTTGAAGTGGCCATCATGCTCAATGAACAACGCGATTAAATTTCTCATTGCCACGCATTGATGAGTGGGCTAGGCAGTCGGAGTTCCCGAGCGAATCATGCGGGGAAACAAGGAGGCTATATGCACCGAGTTGGTATTGTGAGTCAGAGTTAATTAACTCAAACTGAACTTGCTAAAAGGTGACACCATATGCTCTTTCAAATTAAATAAAACGGACCCAGGTGAATTCTTGCTGACTGTAGTGTTCTACTTTCCTAAGAAATATTACTTACTCAGAAAATCCGTGATGTGCCGCCTGACCGAACGCCATCCAAAAGATCTGCGCCTTTGTGCTGGAACGTTTCAACTACCGTATCATGCTACATCAACAAATCACAAGAATAGCCTTCAAAGTGTGTCCGAGCCATTGTGTGTCAGTACACCGTGAAACGTGCTTATGAGTTTGTTGCTGATTTGGCCACATTAACCATAGCGCAAATATAGTGGATGCAGATATTCATGTGCCGAATGTTGTACGTGTCCAAACAGACACAATAGCCGAATGAGATGCCGGTACTATGCGTTACGGGTGGAGATCCGCTAAGTGAAATCCTATGAATTCGCAAGAACACCTCACAGAACAACACTGACACACTGTACATTTCCGCTTCCAAGAGCACGAGCAAACGGATTCCATACACATGGGCTTCGCAACACTGCAGACGAGGAGAATGCATCTGAATCCCCTCAAATTGACTTGCACGAATAGTGAGATACCAACGTTAACATCATTTCATGTTGCCCATTCTTGGTATTCCAATTGTTATTCCGAGTTCCTGCGGACCCTCATTTAGTCGTAACTAAGCATAATAGGAAGGAAACTGTTGCCTTCTGGAAGTGTTGAAACGCTGTGCTCAGCTGTGCTCAAGCAATCAACTGTTGTCAGCTCTCCAAAGTGAGCGGATTCTGCGTTCCTGAATTTGCACCTGTAAAACTTACCATTAGTTACGGTGGTGGAGAGGGTGAAAAAAGCAAACAAAATCCGACAAGCACCAAAAGTAATCGCACTCCGCAGATGGGGGCTTTGTTGGAAACCAATGGCAAAACTGTAGCTGACCATTTGTTTGCCTCGCCATGGCTAATATTTAACATTTAGTTAGCCGACTTCCAAGGTACCAAAACATTAAAATGGTGAACGTCAACTTGATGCACCGGTGATAGAGGATATTTGCGTGACAAATCATTCTAAGCATCCAACCCATAAACTTAAATTAGACAACTGCTTAAAACCAAATCATTTGAATTACCCTCACTTTGTCGAAGCGCAAGGATGAAAGTAAAACTATTATGTATCTACTCATAAGTAGTGTAAGTAATAACATATGTTGACCATTGGGAGAGATCGATGGCCGACAGCATATAGATTGAATCATACTGCGAGCAGACGAAAGGGCATTCATGGAAAGGAACGGCAGGAACAAATAAAAATCAATGAAACTGGAGTACGGTGCTCCTACAGAGCAGGCGCCGAGTGGTAAAGATTGCTGTGGGTGTGAGTCAAACTGCGAACGCACCGTTACCGGCAAACCAACGCTTCACTTCGCAGTGAACACCCAAGCTAGGCATGATGGCTTCGGTGGCTGCGCATCTTCCCTCCACTGAGGCTTTGGCAACGGAAATCAACGGAAGTGATACAAAGTTTGCGTCGCCTTTCGTAACCTCAGTGAGTAGCTAGACTTCCGATTCAATCTAGGAGCTTGACAGATGCTTGACGAGCCCCATCGCACTTGCCACGGTTTGATGGAACGTGGCGCCAGCCCAGTCACATAAACTACCATCCACTGTCTACTGGCCTATCGCAGAAACCATTCTTCTCGTATTTTTTAGCCATCGAGCGCCTCTCGCGAAACATAGTGTCCACCACAAATCCATCTGTATTTCGAAGCGACTAGATAGCGTGCTCATTCAATAGCACCACGCGCGTAACTAGTATCGTGCTGTAACATAAGCTATACAAAATCCCCTCGAGTCATCAGCACTGACACTATCCGTGATCGATTATCAAGTGAGTACTGCAACTGCCCAAGAGGTTGTTTGTGGCGACCCAACCAAACAGCGGATTCTCCAAGTCCAACTTTGAAGTTTGTTGTTGACTTTAGCAATTCTAGGTGGGGGGTCAAACGCTGCTCTCTGAACTCCACGGACCAGTGAGCATGGCACCAGCTGTTAACCACCATGTGTCGGATTTCCTTTCCAGCTATCTACACTTAGAGTCCAAATAAGCGTGCGGTAGTTGGAACAGAAACTAAGAAACTGCACACGAAGCTGATTACCGCATGGCAAAATTTAGGCAGTGACACATTCACTTGTTTCGTCGTGTCCATCCCATTAGCAACGGAGAGTGTAAGAAACTCCCTTCTTAATAGATAATGCGCCGACTCTCCTTTGTATTAAGTAAACTACTGCAGCAGAATTTGCAACTACTTCGTGGCCACTTCCGCTAATGACTACATGTTCATGCAAACAAAGGTAGTGGCTTAATATTGTGGAAGGAAGAATAACCTACTGTTAATTAGAATCTACACGTGGCTACCTATGTGGTAGAAAAGAATACAATAATGCTGTGAAAGGCATGAGCGGCCAGCCAAAGGGAGGAACTGTTGTTCACATCCCAAGTGAATGCGAACAACATTTTATTTGACTTTGCCGACAGGCGTAACCTCAGAACCGGATTTAAAGGGTTCACAGATGGAAGGAAACGGTGACGGATTGCTTCCCCGATTCGTATTAGTCGTATGGCTAGAGTTAGTCACGGCAAGCCAACCTAAAGTAGCCTAAGTTCCCGTGTAATGCACCAGGAATTAGTGTCTATCTTTGCATACTCATTGCGACAAGATAACTGATGGTTTAATAAGGCGATTCGTGAATCCGAGAGACAAGTTTGTTTTCCTAACGGCAGAAAGTTGTGTGGAAGTGGAGAAGGAGCCAGGTAATACTGGTTTCTTACTTCTAGTACCTGCTGTCGCTACGAATGACCCAGTGGTCTATTAAAATGAGGTGCCAGCTGCGTCGTTGGCACGATTTTCACAGTATTCCGTAGCAGTGCATACTTGCAGAAGTGCGGTCACTATGGAACCGCTTGGGGCGACGACTAAGCTGCTTGAGAGCGTCACCTAAACCTATCACAGCGTCACGTGCGGGCTAGGTAAATACGCGGCACTCATACTCGTGCAGGTACTTTGCGCCAGTTGGCCAATTTGGACTCACACAAATACTACGGCACAAACAACGATAAAAGTTCATTACCCTAATGTACTGTGTAAGCCCCTGACTCTTCATGGTCACCTAAAAGGTATTGATTATTACAGGTTGTTTTCAGCTCAGTCTATGTGGAAGTTCACCACCAGTAGAACAAAAGCCTATGACTGTACAAGCGTTTTACCAAATCCTAGTGGACCCTTTTGGAAGTAGTCAGCGCTGAAGCTTTTCCGATTTGAATTTGAAAATTCAAAGTCGGTGGAAACGATTGAAATGGAAAATGTTGCTTCAGTGATTTATTGTAGCAGTTGTAAAAGGATGCGGGATAAAGGAAGGGAATTTACCACTCCATAATGTACGGAACAAAACAAGCACGAATTGGGTTTACGAAACTGCAGTGATACACATGAACTCAATCCTAGTGGAAGTCCCCATTTTGGCTGCTATTGAAAAGTGCGGAGATGAAGCCTGTCGTCTCTGAGGAGTGCGATCAATCGGTAACGCTCTGTTGTAGCACATTGGCCACAAGTTTAGTTTACACACACCACCGCATCTACAGCAGTGTTGCGTTGTTCTCAACCGGTCAGCTAGTTTATGCCTCCGAATTTCTGTTAGTGGTAAGAGCTTTATGAGCAGGGTGGTTTTTGCCATTTCCGTCCCTGGATGAGATGTTTTCAAGGCCACCTGATCTTATACTAGTCGGTTGTAGTTGTCGTAGATGCACACGGTAAGCTTTCATCGTGTCCACAGCCACCAAGTTATGCGCTAAACTAAAGTGCTTAAATTCCAGTGGAACAAACTGGCTCAGATTGCCGTATGCCTGTGAACTCGCCTACGAATTGTCTCCAAGAGCAACTGTGCTTAAAGATTTCACTCGCTTCACTTCTCGCTCGGTCGATGAAACATGCAATGCGAACGGCTTCCGAGAGAAATGAGGTCACAACCCACGTGATTCGTCGTCTAGTGGGTAACAATGTGATGTGGTCCGTTTTTGCTGAACCGTGTCGCTAATGGGCCTCTACAGTGTTACAAATTAAGACCAATTTGTGTGATCTCACATATCTTAGCAAACAATGTTAATTGATCCAATTCTTCATAGGCCTCACCTATTACTTCTAAACTAGTAATACCCGAAAGATCGACAAGAACAAGATGTGCGCCTAAACGTTTCGCTCCCGGCGGTACGTAGTTTGTTCGTCCATTTTCAGTCGGGTGTAGTGGTGAGTATAATCAACAACAAAATGATTTATGGGGTAATTTGTAGCCCTTTCGACAAGCAACGAACTTACCAAACTTAAGCCACTATTTATTTTATGACATTACAAGCAAGTTGGTCTGCCGTACTCTGAGTACAAGGGTGTAGTAGGAAAATTCTAATGGGATAAGCTTTCCACCTAACCCTTGTTAAACGGAATACGCACAACTGACGATTCCAAAAAGGATAAAAAGACTGTGCAGTGCTTTACCCGGACATGCAATGGTTGTCTGACTGTGTCTAGATGGGACGAATTTATTCATATCCAATCGTTCTCAGTCATGGTAATACTGATGTGCGAGTCTAACTCAAGAACAAATCAGCCAGCGACTTCCACCACTTCTATTGGATCAGCACGCTTACAGGGGCTAGTTAGGTTCAATCACAGGTGCCTTCGCAGTTTGGCTCAGTTCTAGTGGGAAAACCGCGTGAGCAATGTTCCTGTTCGGCGCCTTGTTTATGATACAGGTCATCGTCATCAATACACGATAGTTGAGAGTGCGAAACACTCCACGGTTAAGATGCTACACGGGAAGAGAAGTGAACCGCTCAGCACCGTTATTTCACGAACCAGCGTCCAATGGCTGGGCTAGCACACCGATTCCTGGAACGTGCGTTGCATTCGCAACCGGAGTGTGAATGAAAGAAGTGTCAAGAAGAACGAAGGTTCTTAGTTCAAAATCGGCCTCGGCTGGAGTCTCTCGGCTCCCTGGTTGAGGCCCGAAAAAATGTTGAACACGTTTGGCCGGATAGATTTGTTAGCATGGCTAGGAGCCGACCTCAGTGGCCTTTGTGCTGTAAGTTTCATTTTCCCTCCCACTCCAACCACGATTTCATTTCTGACGCATAACTGTCTTTGTGGCACAAAAGCCGGCTGCTAGTTCTACCGAACGATGTCCATCGGTTACTGACTCGCCTGTGTTGCGTCTGTTTTTACTTTCTCATGTATGGCTGCACAATAGCTGAGAGGTTTCTTACTTCTAGCTAATTGGAATAATGCTGATGATGACTTTCGTTTGATTGGTAAATGACGTCCCAAACATGCCGCTAAATTTCCAGATGGAAGGTATAACTAGAGTGTGTACTGACTCAACGTTGTGGTTAACAATCTCATCATAGCTGTGCTGAAACTGAATTAGGTAGCACCGTGCGAAGAGTCTGTAATTTAGAAGCATTAAACGAACCAAATGGTAAAAGTCAACAAAGGGCGAAGCCGGTGCCTTAACACAAGTGGGACGCTTTGAGACTGCAAGTGGAAATACGCTTGGATAAAACGCATAAAACCGTTTGAAAAGGCTTCGAACAAGGACACACCACATAGACTTCAGTAAGAAGTTAGCAGCTTAGCGGAACCGTTAGTGGTTATACCTAATATGTGTAGTGGATGCTGGCTGCAAAAATAATCAACTAAGTCCACACCACCTGGGCACCTACAAACTGATTTCAATCGGGCGTGCGTTCCACTTTGTTTTCTGACTTCGCATTTAGCCACATATGCCATTGGGACATCGATGAAAGTTAGAGAGATCAAATAGTCTACTTTTTTCTCATGCGCAAGGATGCCGCGACGGAAACTTATTAAGAATGTTGGCACTGGGTAATGCTTTCTAAGGTTTGGTATTGTGTATGCCTCGTGATCCTGGAGGGCACTCCATGAACCGAGTGTGTGGAACACTTAGCATCAGGTGCACTCAGACAGCTACTCCATCAGAGTGTGATCTGAAGCTTAGATGGCTTTTAGTTTCATTTAAATGTCAAGTTCAATTGCAACTTTCTTCCAGGTTTGATTTGGGTGAGTTAGGCACAAGCTATTGACCGCAGTAAAAACAACAAAAGTAAACGGAACTAAAAATTGTGTGATTCTTTATGTCTCATAAAGCCTATGTATCATTGGATAGCTTTAGTGTTGGGCTGACACTGGCCTTTTCACAAGTGCCTAGTTTATAAATAAGTAAATAACTAAATAGTATATTCCTCGGCTATGCTAGGTGCAGTCCAACTATGTGGTCTGATCAATGTGTAGAGCAGGATCGCTTTTACAATAGTTCCAAAATGGGTATTAAAGTAATTGGCAGGATTAAGGTATTAAAGAAATTAAAAAGCCAAGAACAATAACATATGCAGATTTAAACAAATGTCCAAGTAAAGTAATATGGTCACTCGTGGAACCGTCCCCAGGGGACCTACTTCCATTCAAGGTATTCCCTCGAAAGGTTTCGCCCACACTTCCATGCTATACCTGGCCGCGTGCCGGTGTGGCATAGTAGCTTATGAGCCATCACCTGTTTATCATATGCTGTGTTCTTTTTAGGGCTGCCTTTATACATGTATTAGGGGCGATGAAGCCTCAGCCCAGTCCGTCATGCGGATCATTCAATTACGAAACCTAGATGTGCGTGAGCCTACTTTGCATCTTGATACCTTCGCTCTCATGGATGGCAAGAATGGAAGAGTAGTTTTGGAGAAACCGGCGAAATATCGCATCCAGATTAATGTTGGTTTAAGCGCACACGTTATTATAAAATTAGTTGTAACTGTTCAACAGCGTAACTACGCCGGGGTACACATAGTCATTCCCTTTCCTATCTATCAAGTATGTATGCAAAACAACCCCGTTGTTATTCACCGTAGATATGAAAAAGACGCTCCGTTTTTATCCAGAGGACAAAACACCTATTCCACTTGCCTATCGGATCTTCAGATACTCGCTCACAACAGGCCAACAAACATGAGGAGCCACAAAGAAGAGTTTCTAATCTTGTGCATACGAGCTCGACCGTGTTTCAGTATGTGATTCGGTGTGGGTATCTAAATATTGCCATTCAGTGGGGGGGGGGAGGAGTTGTGCATGTAGACGGCACACAACCGAGATAGTTAGATTAGCATCTTGTAAGGAAACCGCAACTAGTTACGTTTGACATTGTGTGACCCACGAGTGCATTATTTGTGAAACGTATTCCTAATTGATATCACTATTTATTTTGAAATAACTATATGTTATCCTTAACACATGGACCGCATTTAGAATAGGAAACTTTCTGACCATTCCGGCTGCCAACAATACATTTCATGAAAAGCCTTAGCAAGGCTTTTGCCAGCCAAGCACAGTTATTCGAAGAGGATGTAAAAGATAACTTCATGGTTGTTGGCTGACGCTTTTCGCCCTAGGCTACGGGTTCTGCATGCAACGCATATCACATTGAGTAAGAATATGCTAAGGTTTTGGGTCGACTGCTGTGTTTAGATTGCAGCATTCAACTTAAACTTGGATCGTGATCCACTTTTTGAAATAAACACTAGCAATCTCGATCACCCAAACTGTCTGATTTTGGCGAAAAACTTCCAGTGTTTTGGTGAGCGCAACGGTGGCTGATCAATATTCACTTGAATTACTAAGTCAAACCTATTGTTGCTTTTAAGTCTAGTGTAGGAGGGTTGAAAGGGGTAAACGTTATACCAGAGAACACATACGGGCACTCTCCATGACTGTGGTTGTTTGTGGGCATATACGTTAGATTATCAATGGGGCTGAGCTGTTCACTGTCTTCCTCGTACCAGATTTGGAAGTCGTCAGCACTGAACTTTGTTGATTGGATCCGCTCACTGGGTACTGTTGCAGATGCGGCAGCGTTTGACGCACGGTGCTGGAATTGTAGTTGACGTTGACGCCAGGGAAATGAGGTAGCGAACATGTTGGAGTTATTTTGCTCTTTCGAAGATGCAAGTTTTCTCCAGCATCTCTGCAAGGCAGCACACGGGTATCTCACCATGCTAGTGAGACATAGATCAATACGGCGTTCAGCTGACCATTCTAATCATTGAGTGGTACGATGTAGCTCTATGCGAAGTCTGGCTGAGGCTGAAACAGAGTGTGGTCCGTTGCGACTAGGTGCCTGGAGTCGAGTTTTGCACTGAAAATGGCAAATATAATGTGTTGGTAAAACGAGGATTTTCTATCGAATTGAGTGAGAAATACTATCAGACTGGTCAAATGAATATTGTGCCCCCTCTGTATGATTCTCTACCAATAAATAATAGCAACCGAACTTCACGTCTAGTAAGAGACCTCGATGAAAAGGCGACATAAACAATATGACAGCAGTAATGATAACGTGGAAGCAGTCATCAAGAATTCAGTGTACACTGCCACGAAGTAGAAAACAAAACCGATTATTGCCCTGGTTGCAGATTTCAGCGCATATGTCGTGTCGATTGGTCAGATGTTCCAATCCTTGAATCACGTTCAGGTCATTCTTTAGGTAACTTCAAAGGGTTCGGGTGAAGCTAAGCTGACGGATTCATCAGGTCAGAAACAATAGCTTAAACGTACTTCAATACTTTATATATATATAATATATATATATATATATATATATATATATATATGCTTCAGTCTATAAATAGACATTGAGCCAATCTAATACCATGCGAAACAAAACAAAAGGTACGAAGGTCAGAAAGAGCGAATAACTATTTTGGGTTTTGGCTTTCTGGTTTGTTTTGTCTGTTTTCACACGCCAGGTTTTTCTTTTTTTGGCATTTGGAATGGTAAATCTCTAATCCGATTGTGCAAAACATTTTACTATGCAGTCATTCCAGTGATTCCGGTTTCGCGCCATATTGTCAAGTGTGTCAAGCTATTGGCAATGCTCATCCTTGGGAATCCAACCCGGAAGATATACAGGCTGACGATGGCGAGGCTGGAGGTCAGCGATTTCATGGTTCGCCGCCAAGTAGTTGGCTGACAGCAACGCCTTCTCTTCCAATTCAACCTGGTGCGCGCAGATAAGGCGCTGCGTGGTAAGCGCTCGCACGACATACGTAGGACGTGACCAAGCCACTTCAACTGACGCATTGCTACAAGGCGATCAAGCGGAGGGCTTATGTCTCCCAAGACGTGACACCGAACTTCATCCCTGCATTTCCGGTACTGCCACCACATACGGGCTATTCGTCATAAACATGTGTTGTCGAAGACCGAAAGTCTATGCATGTCATCCGCACGAACCGGCCAGGACACCTCGGTACAACAGGACCGCACGGATCCAACCGTTGTAGACCCACCCCTTCAAGGTGATGGATATGTCCCGACCACGCCACAAATGACTCAGGTTGCTAAATGCCGAAACAGGTTTTGCGATGGGAAGAGCAACCTCTTTCCCAGTAGTGCCATCAGCAGAAATACAGCTTCCGAGGTAGAAAAAGTTGGCCACAAGCACTAGCTGTGTTCCTTCAATGGTAAGTGAGGGGGCAGGCGACTTCCAGTCCTAAAATAGCATTTGCATTTCAAGGGGAAGAGCGCATACCATACTTAGACGCTCTAATCACCAGACGGTCCAAAAAGAGCTGTGCACTTCAATGCTACTGGAAGAACATCTTGGATGATGGTCACTTAATGCCCCAGAACCCTATACTGTCACGTAGCAACCAAGTCAGTGGACTATATCCCACAATTACCAATGTGTTATTGCAAACGATGATGTACTAATTCCGCATCATTTAAAGCGTAGTGAATAGGTCATCATTACAGCTGCTGGATGGCTGCCGGACCGGACAGCATGTCCATGTGACAAGATTCAGACGAGTCAAGTAGTTCACAAGGATGCAACAGATAGGGGAGGTGCTCAAGGCAACTTTTTCAAGTAAACATGGTAATGAGAAAGAGATGGTGATTAACTGATACTTACATGGTTACCGCCAACAAGCAGAGAAGCTAGGCGCTCAAAACACGATTGTACAGTTAAGCTGTGATTGCTAACCAGCGCAAGGTTTGTCCGATAACCAGGCTTATTTGGTGAGCATTTGTCCATACTACTTTAGGAACCTAGAACAATCAATCCAATTCTTTCGGTTAAGTCACTATCACTATTCTTGCTTTAGTAGGTTCCCAGCTTCATCCTCCTACATGAAAACAACCACCACTGCAATTTTGGAGGTGTCATTTGCGGAAACGGCCGCGTGCCTGGACTCGGTGGCTTAGTTATAAAGGGCTCGGCTTACATCCTAAAAGTCCCGAGTTCGAGTCGTAGTTCTGCGCATTGTCTGATGAGTGAAAAAGAATACAAATCCGATCAGAGTGCGGCGTTGCAAGAAGACAACGTCTAGCATCGATATGCTCGTTTTCTAGCAATCATAGATTTCAACGCGCGCGTTGGGCGTGATGCGTCGGTGTGGACAGATGTCATCGCACCACGTGGCATTGGTGCAGCGAATGCGAACGGTGACAGGTTGCTCTCACTGTGTGTCATTCACGGCTTGACGATAACGAAGACTCGGTTTCTACTGAGTGCGAATGATATAGCAAGTTGGACGCACTCATGGAGTGGTCACGCTCACCTGCTTGACTATGTCATCGTACGTCAGCGCGACATGCGTGAAGTGGGCATGACACGTGCACTGCGTGGAGCTGAGTGTGGCATTGATCACAAATCGGTGCAGACCAAATTGTACGTCTACGTGCGGAAAAGTACCTACGGCTTCTCTGCTGTGAACCGGAGGTGTAAATTTAACATTCGCTCCCTCGGTACGGTGGAGAAGCGGATGGAGCTGGAGAAGGCAATGTCTGCATGTCTGTGAGATGCGGAAGACACAGCCACAGTGAGCGACCTGTGGTACCGCATTCGCAACCAGGTGACAGCTGCTGCCGAGGAGACCATCGGGCGCGCAAACTGTAAGCTGCCTGATTGGTTTGATGACAACAATGCGACGATTGGCGCATTGGTGTCAGAGAAGAATGCAGCATTTGCTGCACATGTGGCAGACCCCAGGAATTTGGGGAAGGGAAAGTTTGGCTGAATTAGACAATGAGTGACCCAAGAGCTCGGTTGCATTAAAAATGCATGGTGGACGGGGAATGCGAATCAGATGGAACGCTACGGCGAAAGCCCTCAACACAAGGAATTCTTTGACTCCTTGAATGCGGTGTATGGGCCGTGGTTGCGGCAGCTGATGACACTGATCGATGGTACTTCAGTCGCTACGTGCACACAGACTGCAGACATAACGCAGATCTGGTGAAATCACTTTGAATGTCCCTTGAACAAACCTTCGGTGTTTGACTGGCCTGCAATTAATGACCTGAAGCAGTACGAGATGAAGGTGAGTTTAGCGGACACGCCGACAAGAGATGAGACGCAGAGAACCCTTGTTCAGCTGCGAAACAACAATTGTGCTAATGCCGACGGGATCCTGGCTGAAGTGTTGAAACACGGCGGACGCGCGTTGGTGAATGCACTGCACCAGTTGGTGCAACGCGTGTGGATTGAGGTGTCTCCTGAGCTGAAGAATACAATTGTGCTACCACTATACAAAGGCAAAGGGAGCAAGCAGTGTTGCACGAAGTATCGTGGTATCAACTTGCTGAGTTGTGGGCAAGGTGATTGCCCGAATGCTGTTCAACCGCCTCGTCAGTTAGGTTGTGGAACCGAACGTGGCGGAAAAGCAGTGTGGATTCCGGTCGGGTCGCAGCACCATCGATATGGTGTTTGCCGCTGGTCAGCTGCAGGAGAAGTGCACAGAACGACACCAGCCGTTGTACTCGCTGTTTGCTTATTTCACCGAAGCATTTGATACGGTGAACCGTGAGGCATTGTGGCTGATGCTGGGTAAGTTTGGTTGTCCGAGCAAGTTTGTAAGTTTAATTGAATGTCTGCACAGTGGTATGCGGACCAGCGTGCAGATGAGTGGACAGACCTCGAATGCCTTTGCAGTTGTCTCTGGTGTGAAGCAAGGCTGCCCAATTTAATATTTATCTTCATGCCATGATGTATTGTGCTTTTGATGCGGCTTGTTCTTACAGTGTTCGTGTGGAGCACCGTATTGATGGTGGGTTGCTGAACATCCGTCGTTTTGGTGCGAGAGCTCTAGTCTGTGAGACAACTATCCGTATGTCGCTGTTTGCTGACGACTGTGCGTTTGCACACAGCGCGGATGAGTTGCAGCACATGACTAGTGCTCTGGCTTCGACAGCGGCCAAATTCGGGCTCACCATCAACGCAAGCAAAACTGTCTGTCTCTTTCAGCCTTTACTGGAGGTGCAATCTGCATTGGTGCCACGAATCAGTGTTTTTGTTGAAACGTTTGGAACCACCTCCCGCTTTTACTACCTTGGAAGTGTGGTTTCGATGGACCAGCAGCTACTCAGTGAGCTTCTTATCCGCGTCTCGAACGCAGAGGCGGTATTCGGGAAGCTTGAGTACCGAGTGTGGAACAACCACCAGCTTACCGTTGGAACGAAGCTGAAGATGTACAAATCCATGGTGTTGTGCGGCAACGAAATGTGGACGACGTACTGGTGAGGTGTGCGATATCTCGAGCGGTTTCAGCAACAGTGTCTGCGAAGGATTCTGCGCATCGGTTAGTGTGACAAAGTGGCAGGCACGGAGGTACTGCGTCGTAGTGGAATCTATACTGTTGCTGAGACATGTGATATGGCTCGGTTATGCGTCGCGTATGGATTCGTCGCGGATACCGAAGCAGCTGTTTTAAGCTCAGCCGAGTGTTGGGAAGCGGTCTGTGGGAAAACCGAAGCTTCGCTAGCAGGAAATGATCAAAGTGAGCCCATAACGTACTAATGTTGCTTTTAGATTCTGGGAATCGAAAGTGGTTGATCGGCGTGCATGACGAGATCTGATCACGAAGGCCGCCACTGAGGTGCAACGGAAATCCCTTTTGCATGCAGAGAAGAAGTGGCAATTGCGAAAGCGACAGTAACCGATGGGATGTACTCCATCGACATCGAACGCATGGTGCTGTAGAACATGCGGTTGCG